CCCACGCCACCGGCCATGCTTTCTACTGTACTAACCTTATTTCCCTGGTTTAAGACAAGACTTATACGGTTTTCCCTGCCAAATACATCTTCCCTCTATTACACTCTGCTGCTTTACCGTTCCAAGCTCTCCGCCTCAACTGGAGTGGCCGGAGAGGTGGGGGAAAGACGAGGTCCATGATACGTCCGTCGAAGCAACTGCGATCAACCTTCAACAATTCGACCAGAAGATGGATCTGGGAGGAACGCCGTCGCACCGGGTTCCTTCCGTAAATCTAATGAAGATTGAACCCGACATCGGTTCATTTCTCCGGCAGCACTCCACTCTCCCTGTTCGTGTCTTCCTAAAGAGGAGAGTTTTTGTCTGTGTCCATGGACAAGCATGGTCGATCCTGGTCTCCCAGATGCAGATTTTCCCGTAGTTGACTCCGACAGAGATGACGATGATGACGAGAAAACGACGGCGATGGTGACGAAGATGTGGAAGAGTATGCCGAAGAAGGTGCCAGTTCTTTTCTCCGACAACCTCTACTCACCCTCATCAAGCTCCAGCAACAGAAGCTCTGACGTGGAAGGTCACGACGAGGAGAAGAATGTCGACGGCGACAAAGGTGTCGGAACGTTCACCCCTTGGCAATGTTCACAAGAATGTTCTTTTCATGGCAGCATCAGCCTGAGTTCTACAACTCAACACCAACTCTCAAGACTTATTCGGTAAGTGAAAACCCCATCCTTTCTTTTCTTCCCCTCTACCCTCTTTCTGGTGTCGATTTGGGGATTTTGCTAAATTTAGTGCAACAAAACAGGGGGCAGAAGATGTTGCCTGAACAACTGGCCTACATTATCAAGACCAGAAACTGATTTACAAAGACAAAGAAAGGGATTAAAACATGTTCATGGATATAACAGGGGTGAAAAATGGTCCAAAATGGTTCTGCTTCAAGCCCCAATTAGTCTGGAGAAGCGTTGCATTGAGATGAGAAAGAACTGTAAGATGGAGAAAGCTTTCAGGTACATTTTCGAGATCAACTTCCAAGTCCACTGCCTCGCCATCAGGGTATGTATGCTTCCTCTTTGATCCTCTTCCACGGGTTGTAGGTAATTTGATAATACTGATCATAGTGTCCAACTTGGTTTCTTTCTTATAGATTTTGACTCTTGAATCAGTGGTTAGTATTGGTGGGAAGGTAGCAGAATAGGAAGTTTTGAGCTTGAACGAGTTGTTGCCGAATGAGCTGCTGAAATTGGATGGGATTATTGGTGATGGATATGGAAATTGCAATCGAGAAGTGTTCAAAAGGTGCCAATGCTTTCTTCTCTATAAATTTTCTCGATCTACTCATTGATTCATTTACCATTCACATTCTATGAGACTTAGTGTTTTGCCTTACTTTATTATTCTAGTTGACAGGATGTAGCAAAGTATGTCTATACTTGATGTTTAATTGATAAGCTTAAGTCCAGTAAATTAAGAGTTCTTTTTCATTTCCCCTTCCCAAGGACTCGCTTATCACCTTTCCTATATAAAGTTTAAGTTACTTTGTCATTTACGAGCTCGTATGTGTTCTCAACAGTATTTCTGCCGCAAAATGTATATGGATGTGCTATTTGTTGACTCGACAAAGAAAAACCTAGCAGCCCCAAATCTTTAATTTTAGAATACTTTTGGGAAACATCCTGCAAAAACTGTAGCCAATTGCCGGCGAAAGAAGCAATACTAAAAGCTTCAATAATTGCTTACCGTCACCCCTAATCACCAAACAAAGACAACATCAAGCTTGTTCGATACATTCCCAATAGCTTCATGATGTTTTACATCATAGAACTGCTTAAAGAGATGAGATGCATCAATAACTTGTGAATACCTGCTACTACTAACTCATGAAGCTGTTAAAGGCATGTATTTCGATTCAGCATTAGCTCAGAAGAGCACAACAAGAGCAAGAGAATTGCAAACATGATCATTAGGGCTGTTCAAACGGTGTGATTATCATGGTAACCGTTTTAACCAGTACTATTTGGATAATTTGGTTTGGTTAATTTGGGGGTAAATTGCAAGTTTGGTCATTGGGTTTGTAAAAAAGGTTCACGTTTGGTCACTCAAATTAGTGGAATAATTCGACTTTGGTCACTCTCCATCCAACTCCGTTAACTTTTGATGATGTGGCAGTCAACTCTCATAGTTGACCGTTAAATGAGTGACGTGGCAATTAAAAAAAATGATTAAATAATTAAATTTAATCCTTTAAAATTTTCATCTCATTTTCACAATAATTAAAAAATAAAAATATAGAGCTTCTATCCTCTGCACGTCGACGGTTTTCCGCGGATAGATCCCTTCACCTCCTCTCTTCTCCATCCGGATCTTCCTCCCAGATGGGAAAGCTTAACCTTGCTGTTCATCTCCTTCTTTTGCTGCACAAAGGGCCTCTTCAACTACCGTGGAAATTCCTAGCACTCATCCTTGGCATAAGGAGTGAATGGATAGAACAACTGCCATCCTCCTTGTGCAACATGGGTTCACCTAACACAGCACAAATCCTAGCATACATAGTACACACAGTTCTAACAAGCAATTCCACAATTTTATCATAGCTCTGGTTCCAAATTGAAACGTCCTTGAGAATTGAGATGCCTAACGTCCTGCTCCTGCCAAATCACTTTTTGCTCATATGCTTTCCTGCTCTCACCGTGCTGGTTCGTCTGAAATTTCTTAGTAGCTTGTTCTAATTCTGTCAGAACCTACATTTCTTTGAACAAATTAGTAGTGGCGTTAACATACCTCACCAGCTTCCTAACCATGGCATCCATGTCCTTGACTAAAAACCCCAATTCCTTCACATCAATGGCTCCGTTGATTAAATCCCCATAGACGTGCTCGAAACCTTGCAAAGCCGGCTCGACGCACTTCTTGCAAAGGCGGGAGACGACGACGACGACCCTGTTGAGTCGTCGAGCTTCTCGGCCAGGGCGAGCTTGAGGAGGCGTGACTCGTCATGGGAGACCAAGTTCCAGACCTTCTGAGACCCCAAGATCTCGGGTTTGAGCTTGGAGATCTCGGGTCGGTGAGGGACTTGTGGAGGTGGACGGTTTTGGAGATGACATTGGCGACCTCGAAGGAGAGAATCCCAAGTTTCCTTCGTGGGTCTCGTAACCGCCGCCGCCCTCTTGGGGGGTTTCTTCTTGCTGCTGGATTCAAGAAGGAATGTGTGCTTCAAATTGCTGCCACCTGGTTCCATTGAAGTCTCCTGCCGGAACAACCGTCGACGTGCGGGGAGGATAGAAACTCTGTTTTATTTTTATTTTTTAATTATTGTGAAAATGAGATTGAAAATTTAAAGGATTAAAAATTATTTGATTTTTTTTAATTGCCACGTCACTCATTTAACGGTCAACTATGAGAGTTGACTACCAAATCAGCAAAAGTTAATGGAGTTGGACGGAGAGTGATCAAAGTCGAATTACTAAACTAATTAGAGTAACCACGAATGGAATTAAATATTTCTAGTGACCAAATGTGAACCTTTATTATAAACACAGTGGCCAAACTTGCAATTTACCCGTTAATTTGGATAATTGGTTTTGTTTGGTTAAAGTTTTTAGCTTGTTTGGTTTAGGTGGTTTGGTTTGGTTTCAAACACTCCTAACCAGTCAAACCAAATTAACCAGATAAATAATTAGCCATATATCTAATATATGCACATACTTAATACTTTGAATAACCACTCAAGAGTTAAACGTTCATCCCTTTTAGACTCATAAAATATAAAGCTTGATATTGTTCCTATAATGTATATTTGTATATGTAGAGTGTAGACCACAACATATGAACGCCTAATTTAGATAAATCTCATACATTATGTTGGATGAAAACTTGAAAGCAAGGTCCTTTTCAGCCTATGAAAATTGCTAAAAGACTAAGTCAATTCAAACAAACACAACAATTCATTAACCCATACCATTGTGATAAATTTTTGCTAGGTGAATACTTCTATACTAACCGTAAGATAATTGTCTTAGTTGCATGTATTTATGTCAAAGGTCAACTATAACCAAGTGTTGATTGTTATGTTTTATTTATTATATAAATTGTGAATTGATAAATTAACCGAAAGTTTTCTCACTTAATGATAATGTGATTTTATATTGGTTAATCTGGTTAACCAATTAACCAAACTGATTAAACTTTAGTTTGGTTAATTTGGTTGTTGTATTAGTTTGGACGGTTTGGTTATTATATTGTATTCCATGGTTAATGAAATTTAGTCTTATTTGATTTGGTAATAACCATGGTAACCATTTGAACACCCCTAATGATCATACTCAGGTTTCCATAAGGAACAGATCAACATCATCATCCACATCCACATTTGGGCTGTTTTCCCACTTATTTTCTACAACACACTTGAGGTTATTTGGTTGGCCTAACACGGCTAAATCTCCTGTGGCGTAGCCGCGGATATTGATACTAGTACAAATTACAATAAGGTCAAGAATTGTATCATTGGAATGTGTAGGGAGAGTGGCATACGTTACCATGAAGTGAGCGTTGATATTGAACATGATGCGTCGGGCTTCTGTCATCTCAAACCATGCCAGCCCTTACTCAAAACACACCCATTCCCCTTTCTCCTTTCTCCCGCCCATGTTTCTGCCACTCTCACAACGTACAATTGGAGCATCCCCCTCACAATCGCACTCACTCACTCACAAAGGAGCCACAATGTGACATATATAACTCCATATCTCTCTGCATCACATGATCCTGTTGCCCTTCGCTCTCCATACTCTTTTAATGCTCAAGAGTTTCCCAGAACAACTTACCAACCTCACATGCCTGAAATCTAGTAGCAAAAAAGAACATTCAACCCCCATTTTTCTCACCTCCATCTTTACGGATGGCGTGACCAGACCAAAGAGTTCTGATAGAGCAAGCAACAAGCTAGTTGGAAATTTCTTCTGTTTGTTTTATTAATTCTTGTTTTTCAAATCCTGTATCCCTGGCAGAACAGAATAGACAACCGTCAGCCTGACTGACAGGGTCGTCCAATGAGTGAAGGAAGGGCCGGTCCCCTAGGCAGAAGAGACAATCTATATATACGTAAGAATATTGTATTTAGCGGCCATGCTTCTCCTCCTACTACAGATTCCTCTCTCTTTCTCTGCATTTCCTACTGCAATTCCCATCTTGTCTTATTGCATACTCTGCCTGCCTGGAAACAGAATTCTTGACTAACTACTTTATCCTCTCTTATCTTCTGCTTCGCTAGCTCCCAAACTGACAATCATCCCTTTTTAGCCCGCCTTAATTCCAAGTTCTCTCTTGTTTCTATTTCTATTTTGCTCTTGTGCCGAGATCAGCAGAAAGCTTGCGGCTTATGATGACACTAGTGCTGAAGCTGGTTCTGGTGATGCTACTATTGGAGAGAGGAACCCCATTGGTTTCTCCAAATGGGTCGACGGGAGGCGACATGGACGGAAACAGGTTGGTGGTAGCAGAACCAAAAGACTACTCCAAGTGGCTACACCAAATCCAAATGGGCTCATTCAACAAGCATGCCTTGTTCCAGAAATCCAACAACAAGCCGAGGCCGTGCTTGACCCTTAAAGTGAGGAAGCACAAACGCCACTCGAAATCCTCCAGGATGTTCACCACCCTGCACAAGGCAATAGATTCCATCCCAGTTGTGAATAACTGCCGAGTTGTCATCTCCATTGGCAAAGGAACTTTCAGGTTTGGTTACGTGACTGAGTTGTACTCTGCATTGATGCTTGTTTTAATTTCCATTGATATGAATTTCTTTGGGTTGCAGGGAGAAGGTTGAGATACCTGCAACGATGGGCTACGTAACCCTCAAAGGCGCTGGTGCTGGGAAGACCATTATCGAGTGGGGTGACACAGCCGATAGAATTGGGAGAGATGGGCATCCATTGGGAACTTATGGCTCCGCTACTTTCGCTGTCAACTCTCCTTACTTCATTGCCAGGAACATTACCTTCAAGGTCCCGTTTTGGTTCATCCAGTACTCTGTTTCCTAAGCTTTCCTTTCTCTGCCAAAAAAAAAAACTAATTAATGCTGTTCTTGTTTTCTTTTTAAGTAGGCTATTCTCAATGACAGTTCCATTTTCCTTTGCTTTGCTCTGCTCAGAACACTGCACCACCACCACCATCAGGAGCTCTAGGGAAACAAGCGGTGGCCCTTAGAATCTCCGCTGACACGGCCGCGTTCATTGGCTGCAAGTTCATCGGAGCACAGGACACCTTGTACGACCACACTGGCAGGCACTACTTCAAGCACTGCTACATCGAGGGCTCGGTCGACTTCGTGTTTGGGAACGGTCTGTCCTTGTACGAGAAATGCCATTTGCACGCAGTCACCAATAGCTTCGGGGCCCTGACAGCGCAGAAGAGAGGGAGCTTGCTGGAGGAAACAGGGTTCTCGTTTGTGGGGTGCAAGGTCACTGGGTCAGGAGCTCTGTATCTAGGAAGGGCGTGGGGGTCTTTCTCTAGGGTGGTCTTTGCTTACACTTTCATGGACAAGATCATTACCCCTCCTGGGTGGTACGACTGGGGAGATAAAAACAGGGAAATGTAAGTTCGCTTCGCTCCCAAGTATATTTCCTTCAGGATTTTCCCCCGTCTTTTTTGGTGTACTCACTTCTCAATTCGGTTCACTGTGTAGGACTGTGTTTTTCGGGCAGTATAAGTGTTCAGGGCCGGGAGCCAATTTTGGAGGGCGAGTTCCGTGGTCTAGGGAGCTTACTGATGCAGAGGCTGAGCCCTTTATTTCTCTTGGTTTCATTGATGGCCATGATTGGCTCCCTGATTTGTTGTAACAGTTTCTGATGGAACACGTATAAAATCTGCCAATTCGAATACAGAGTGTTTTCGTAAGTAACAAGTATGGTTGCGCATTTAAGTACTGCACATCGATACAAATGTGTTACTGCGGATGTCGTGATTCATCAAGTTACATCATTTCTGCGTTTTTACATTGTACAAAATAAAAAACTCAAGTGTACAATAAAGTATTATGTACAAACTTCAACAGTGCTTTGTTGTAAAACAAATGCAACCTAACATATTAGGAAATCCAAGACAACCAAATTTCGGTCAGACTGCACACAACCGCAGTCAACATTCAACAAGTTGTTGAAAAATTAGAGAAAACTTAATTCCATGTTCGTATTTGCCATGGCCAATTATAATTTCTTTTCCCTCTATTTCGCTCATTGATGTGTTTCGTTTACTTTCTACTTGGAACTTGCTCGAAATAGTTATCCAGCTTTAAAATTCCAGTGGATTTGGATTTGAATTGTTTAGTTTCATCTAATAGTAAGCTGCATCTTACAAAAAAAAGGTTCCAATAGGATTTGGTATGCAGTTTCTGGAACTTCAAGTGCATATTTGTCCGAGATTTGTGTTATTGTGCTTGAGTTGGTGGGTGGACATGTCTAAATCCAGAGCATACATGATAATCAAAACTTGACCTCTCCTCTCCTTAGTCTGGCCTTCTGGGTAGGTGATATTTTTCTCATTTGTTCACCATGTAGATTGAACTAACGTTGTAATGTTTGGTTTGGACAGAAAATGGACAAGGATACTCAAGTTGGTCTGCCTATTTCGAGCGTAGAGATTACTTCCTAACCTGAACTTGAACTCTTGCTGCACATCAACATGTTGATGCACCTCATCTGTTGCTGCTGAAGCTGCTATTGAGGCAGCCCCCTTGCAAAATAATGGTGACGAGGAGAAGCGCAAGGGTGCAACATCAGGCAAGGTGTTCTCAGACTGGTGGCAACACTGTAATAAAGTTACAGTGGACGGTAAGCCAAAAGCAGATTGCAAGTACTGTAGGAAGAAAAGCTTGATTGAACAACACATCTGAAGAATCATTACTTCAGATGTACTAAAGTGAAGCAGCTTGGAGATATAAGGTAGCAACTCTTACAGGACAGTCTGAACAACGAGAATTCCAGTTGACATCATTCAACTTCAGTCATGAAAATTCTCGGAAAGAACTAGTAAAGGCCTTTATAGAACATGAGTATCCTCTATCGATAGTGGAGCATAAAGGGTTTTGAGTTATAGCATGAGTTTGAACCCCTACTTTAAGATGGTGTGTAGAAACACCATAAAAAGACTATCTCGCCATTTATTATTTTGAAAAGCAGTTGATTCGAGCCTAATTGTACATGTTTTGCCCCCGTTTTACTTAGGTGTTTGTGCCAAATTCACTCCTAAAAGGTTGGTTTTACGCTAGGTTCCTCGTGTTTTAGTGTATTTTAAGATTTAACAGGTGAAACCAGCCTCGGAGTCGAAAGTTGGGCGAAAAGGATCGAAAATCGGGAGAAGAGGTGAAAAAGGGCCAGTTCACGGCTAACCAAGGAAGTTCACGGTCTTGCATGACCGTGAAGAAGAGCTCTTGACCGTGAATCGCGAGACGTCCAGAGCCAAAATGGAGGTTACTGACACAAGGTGAGTTCACGGTCACTAAGATCATGAACGAAGGTTGTTGACCGTGAATAGAAGAGATCGACGCAGTGCGTTTTGGCGCAAGCCTGCAGTTCACGGACGCGTTTCGTGGTTCACGGTCGTGTACTCAGCTCATCTCTGATTTAAATGATGAGCTGAAAGGAGGAGAGAGGGGAGAGCCCATTTTGTGTGAAAGCCTTCTTCAACATTCTAGAGAGAGAAACACGAACAAAAGGGAGAAGAAAACTAGCGTTTTGCTTCAAGGCAGATTTTGGGAAGATTTCCTACAAGGAAAGCTCAACTCAAGGGCCAAGAAGACTGGGAGCATCCTCCAAGATGGCTTCCACCTCTTTCCCTTTTGTTTTTCCCACTTCTAACATGGAGTAGACCTCCTTTCACTTGGGTGTTGTGAAACCCTAACTCTACCATGTAGTTTTCGTTAAATTTATTGGATGATTGTCATTGGGTATTGTTCAATTTAATGATTGAGGCATTATTTATCATGATTGTGCATGCTTGTGCTTAGCAACCTAGGGGTTGTGCATGTTTTGTGCTTAGCATCCTTAGGTTTGTGCATTTAGGTGCTTAACAACCTAAGGATTGTTCATAATTGTGCTTAGCATCCTTAGGTTTGTGCATGTTGGTGCTAGCAATCTAATTAGCCACCTTAGCGTAGCTTAGAGAGGAAAATCCCCCTTCCAAGAGAGACTCAATCGAGTTAGTTTTCCTTCCGCTTTATAAGCCACCTAACTAGGTTAAGTTAGGGCAACCCTCAATGTTGACTTAAGCACATCGGTTAATTGCGATTAAACCGTCCGACCTTTGAGTTGAGTGAGGGAGTAAGCCAATTACCATTGTCTAAACCGAGAGGGTCGAGTGATATGGCCTTTCATGCTCACCTCAGTTTAGAAATTGAGATTGTAGTCTCCGACCATATATGCATCCCACTGCGGTTCACAATTACCGTGCCCAAAGCAATCGTTCCAATTTACATATCATGGTAGCAGTTAGGGGGAAGCGACACTCGAATGATCCTTCCACAAAAGAGTTTCCAAAACCATTTACCTTTGCCTTTTGTTATTTCAATTAGCAAACCTTTAAACCAAAACTTTGTTGCTAGATTATTATTTCGACAACCGAAGTAGGGGTAGACGGACAGACCTGGGTCGAAATCTAAATACTTGCCCTATACTGCACCCGACTAGAGTTTAAAAACTTGGGCTCTAGTTGGGGTTTTATTGTGGTGTAGTTTCGTGCGAGTCAAGTTTTGGCGCCGTTGTCGGGGACAACGGTCTGTTATCTTGAAAAAGTTGTTGGTTGTTAATCTAGCTTTTAATTTCCACTTTTGCAAGTGTGTGTGCTTTGCTTGTGCTAGACTTGGTATGTTTTCCGACTGTGTGTAGGTGGTGCATAACCCGGAGCAACCCGCCACCTTTGCTACCACTTGACGAGGATATAAACCGAATTCTCCGACTCCTAGCACGGGAGGGAGAGCTAGCGGAGGCAAGGAGAAGAAGTGAAAGAGGGGGACAACGTTTGGGTCCAAGTGTTACGGGAGAAGTAGTTGACCAAGTGGAAGTTGAACCCATCACCGAAGTGGAAATGGCGGGGAACCAAAGGCAAGATGGCGCTCAAGGCCGCCAGTTGAATGATGTGGCGGAGGAAGAGGATGCCCTTAGGACGATGGGGTACTATATGGCCCCAAGGTCGGCGGACATTCAATCACCAATCCTACATCCTCCAATGGCGGCAAACAATTTCGAGATTAAGCCGGCTCTCGTGACTATGATACAAAGTAATGCTCTATTCCATGGCCATGAGAGCGAGTCACCTAGAGAGCACGTGCATAGATTCTTGGAGCTCGTGGGGAGCATGAAAATTAATGGTGTGCCGGCCGAAGCTTTGCAACTAAAGTTTTTCCCAAACTCACTCTCGGGGAAGGCACTTAGGTGGCTAAACAACCGTCCACCTCGGTCTATCACCTCATGGAACGACCTCCTCAATAAGTTTATGGCCCGTTATTGCCCGCCTTCGAAGATGGCGGAGTGGAGAAAGAAGATTACACATTTCGAGCAAGAAGAGGACGAGACCTTGGGGGAAGCTTGGGAAAGGTACTCCGATTACTTTCTTCAGTGCTCTCACCACGGGGTTGAAGAACAGTTCCGGATCGAAACCTTCTATGGAGGCATAATGCAAGAGGATAAAATTCTCATTGACTCCTTGTGTCAAGGGAAATTGATGAATATGGCTCCACCCCAAATAACCGAGATACTTGAAGACATGGCCCTTAAGGGATACGATTGGGGGTTGACTAGAAGTGGAAGAAGAAGTAATAATAGGGGAGTGAGAAGCGTGGGAGCGAGTGCTCCGCTTGAGGCGAAGTTGGATAAGTTGCTTGAGGTTATTCTTGAAGATAAGAGGCAAGGAAAAAGGCTGGTGATGTCATGTGACTGGTGCTCGAGCAACAGTCATGAAATGGCGGAGTGTCAAGCAATGAAGGAGGCAACCACTCCGGAGGAGCAAGTCAACTTCGTGGCAAATGCTAGGGTCAACAACCCGTATAGCAATACTTATAACCCCATATGGAGGAATCGCCCCAACTTTGCTTGGGCATCGGCGACAAATCCGAGGCCCCCGGGTTTTTAAGGCCCCACGGGAAATTTCCAACCTCGGTCGACCTTCATCCAACAAAGTTTACCTCGGTTGCGGCGGGACTCCGAAGTCATCAAGCGAGCCTTCAAAGCTTGGAGGTGCAAATCGGTAATCTTGCCGGTATCCTCACTGAGAGACCCAAGGGAGCTCTACCTTCCCAAACCGTGACGAACCCCAAGGACCATGCTGGGGTAAATGTTCTCCAAGTGAGGAGTGCGAAGGTGGTTCCGGAAGTCGCCACTAATGAAGTGATGGAGAAGGAAGATTCCAACAAGGAAGAGAACAACCGAAGAAGGGAGAAGGGAAGCCCTCGAGGAATGAGAGGAAGGCGGAAAGGAAGGCTTTGCCGGTGGATGGATACTCACCACCTCTTCCTTATCCAACAAGGATGTACAAGGAGAGGTTGGAGAAGGAGTGTGGAGGTTTCATGGAAATGCTCCGCAACTTCCACCTCAACATCCCGTTCCTCGAAGCCATGGCTCAAATGCCAAGATATGCCAAGTACCTCAAAGGATTCCTCATCAAGAAGCCAAGGCTTGAAAGCCTCGCCAACGTGACTCTTGGCGAGGAGTGTTCGGCTTACCTCCTCGACCGCTTGCCCAAAAAGCGGTCCGACCCAGGTAGCTTTACTATCCCTCTTGATATTGCTAACCATCATATAGTCAATGCCTTGGTGGACCTAGGAGCTAGTGTTAATATGATGCCCTGCAAGCTTTTCAAAAAGTTAGAAGTAGGTGAACTTAAGACCTCTAAGCTTAGCATCACCTTAGACGACCGTTCGTTCATTAGCTCGAGAGGTATAGCGGAGGACATGATGGTGAGAGTGGGCAAGTTTTGCTATCCGAACGATTTCATGATTCTCGACATAAGCGAGGACTCGGATATGCCCCTCATCCTCGGTTGTCCTTTTCTTGCAACCGCCAAGGCATTTATTGACGTTAATGAGGGGACCCTAATTTTGAGGGATGGTATAGAGAGAATCAAGCTTGAAATTGATCCTAGGTTTAGGAGTGATGAAGTGAAGTGGGTAATTTCAAATGATGTGAATGAGAGTGGAGGAGAGCCTCTCAAGGAAAACCCCACCGTCACTTGATGATGTTGAGTAGGAAGTTAAGAAGGGTCCTAAGCCCAAAAGATCGAGGATAAATGCTTGGAGGAGAAGGATGAAGGGAGCTTTGACCCGGAAGATTGGGGAGGCCAAAGCAATGTTGACCAACCAAGAGGGCCAACTCAAGGAACCTAAGATGGGAGGCTCCAAGCCTCGCCTCGAGAGTGTGGTGGATCCGCTCTCGGTGGCATCACGTTTGAATTCGTGATCGATCCCCAACCGTCAAGCTAATGACGATAAATTAGCGCTTGTTGGGAGGCAACCCAACGGAGGTTTGTTTTCTTTTCCTTAATTTTCGTTTTAGTGTCTTGTGAAGAGTTCGAGTGGTGAAGTGGTGTCCCCGTGCCGAGTTTTTTGGTTTTGCGGTTTATGGTTGTGTTGTGATCGATTAGGATGCACGGAGGAATAGGTTGAGTCAAAATTTTAGCAGAAGTGCCCTGTTTTCACTGTTGTTCATGGACGAATTGCTGAGTTCACGGTCTTATAAGACCGTGAACATGAAAACGCGTCCGTGAACTGGGTTCTGATGAATGTTCACCACCTTTCAACCACTCCGTGTTCACGGACGCGTTTGAGAGTTCACGGTCGCTAAGATTGTAAACTCGGCAACGCGTCCGTAACTCCGAGTCGTGCCTATAAAAGGGGGGTGAACGGCGACTCTTCACTTCACGACCAAAACCTCTCCGGAAAATTTCAAATTCTTCGCCGGAAAATGTGAAAATCCGTCGGTTTTTTGATCTTTCCCCCAATTCCGGCGAGCAAAACCCAAAACCTAAGTCATACCCAGTCTCCTCTCCTCAAAACCGGCTTGTGCTAAGATTTTGGGGAGATTTGCATCACATTTTTCCCGGCCAAGTCACCGACGGCGAGTCTCCGACAAGCTTCCGACGAAGCTCCGGCGACCCCTCTCCGGTCAATTTTCTGATCGTTTTTCACCGTCCTCGCCCGCACCTCACTTCCTCCTACGTCCCACTTGTGTCTCCAGGTTTGTTTTTAGACTTTACCTTTGTGAATTGTGGAGAATCGGGTTAGGTAGAGAAGTGAGGTTGAATTTTTGTGCTTTGCATGATTAAATCTAGATTTAGGGCGAGGAATTAGGTGAATTAGGTCGATTGAATGATGGATTGATTTTTGCATGAGCTTAGTGAGCCTTGGTGGGCGTCTTTGAATCGAATTGTGTTTATTTTTAGAATTTGCCCACCAAGTGCTATGTTATGAATGCAAGTGGAGTT